TGCAGTGGTGCGATCTCAGCTCACTGCAACCTCCGCCTCCTGGGTTCAAGCAATTCTCCTGCCTCAGCCTCCCGAGTAGCTGTGACTACAGGCATGTGCTACCATGCCCAACTAATTTTTAAATTTTTAGTAGAGACAGGGTTTTGCCATGGTGGCCAGGCTGGTCTCCAACCCCTGACCTCAAGTGACCCACCCATCTCGGCCTCCCAAAGTGCTGGGATTACAGGCATGAGCCATTGTGCCCAGCCTGAAACAACATTTTTTTTCTTTTGCTGAGTGTTTTGTAGAACTCACCAGTGAAGTTTTGTGAGGCCAGAGTTTAATTTGTGCTGTCACTGACAGGAGAGATGATACCCTGGACGACCTGCTACATTCCTAGATAAGAGAGAGCAGTGATGTTGCACATACAGACAGACGCTCACCACCTGGCAGCCTGGATTCAGGCAGGTGATAAATATGTCCAGTGCCTCATCCTGAGTGGAAGCAGACACAGTAGTCAAATTTTTGACTACTAATTTAATTTCTTTAATGGTTATAATTCAGATTTTCACTTCTTCATTATGATTTTGGCCACTTACATTTTCTAGGATTCTGCTTATCATATCTAAAATTTGAAATTTACAGGCATAAAGTTCTTTATGATATTCTTTTATCTGTTTAATGTCTTTTATCTGAACCATCTGCAGTGATGCCCATTTTCATTCCTAATGTTCGTTGTGACTTCTTTCTTTATCCTTGGGCAATATTGCTAGAGGCTTGTCATTTTATTAGTTGGTTCTTTGCAAAGAACCAACTTCTGGCATATTGGTTTTCTCTACTGAAGGTCTGCTTTCTGTTTCACTAATTTCTGGTCTTATTTTTAATAATTCTATCCTTCTACTCTACTGGTGTTATTTTGCTATTCTTTTTCTAACTTCTTGTGGTGTACGCCTAAACTTAATTTGCAGTCTGCTTATTTCCTTGAGAACTTGTTTGGAGGTTCTAGCAGAGGAGTGCAGCTACTCGTATACCCTTGACTGAAGGTCCTCCTCTATCGGGGATAGTCATCCTCTTCAACCCAGCTCGCAGCTTCGGGAGGGACGCACATGGAGCGGTGAGGGAGGAAGGGGAACCCACCTAGCCAGCCAGATCAACCGAATCAACTCTGGCGATCAGTGTGGTGACAGATGTCACAGCCAGATCGCCCTCACATCCTTATTTCCTACTATATACAGTTCAGGCTATAAAATTGCCCTCTAAGTAATCCCATAAATTTTGATATGTAGTGTTTTCATGATCATTCAGTTCAAAGCATTTTCTAATTTCCATTATTACCCGTCTGTTTTGATCTATGAATTATTTAGAAGTATTTTTCTTAATTACCAAACTGTGATTTTTGGTTATCTTTTTGTTATTGATTTCTAGCTTAGTTGCACCGCAGTCAGAGAATATATTCCATATTGATTCAATCTTGTGAAACGTGTTGATATTTGATTTATGTCCTAGTATACGGTGAGTTTTGGTAAATGTCCTACGTGTGCTTAAAAAGAATGCATATTCTATGGTTGTCAAATGTAATGTTCTGTCCATTCAGTCAAGATTACTAATTGTTTTGCTTAAATCTACGTTCTGATTTTTTTTGGTAAACAGAGGCATGTTAAAATCTCTCACTATGATTGTGGATTTTCTGTTTTTCTTTTTAGTACTTTCATCTTTCGTTTCATACATTTTCAGGATTGTTTTATAGTTCAGAATATGACCTATCTTAGTGAATATTCCATAGGTGCTTAAAAATATATATTCTGCTGTTGCTGGATGGAGAGTTCTATTACACGTCAATTTGATGCTGTTGTTGAGTGTCTTTAGTTCTATATCCTTGCTGATTTTCTGTCCAGTAGTTCTGTCCAGCAGCAGTAACTGGCAATTGTGGGAAGTCTCTACCTATAATTGCGAATTTGTCTATTTTGCCTTTCAGCTCTATCAGTTTCTGCTCCATGTATTTTGGGATCCTGTTTTTGGTGTGCACACATTTAATGGGCTTTCAATAAACTTCTAATTTTGTTTATTTTGGTCATAATTTCTATAAATTCTGATGAGTTTTTCATCAAATATGGTAAGTGACTTTCTATAGTTTCTTTTTTCTTTAGATATAAATGCTACTTTTAAAATCTGTATCATACAATGCCAATTTCAAAGTCTGTACAGGTTATTTCTGTTGTCTGTTTTTTCTGATAGTTCTTAGTTATATTGTTTTCTTTTGTGCCTAGTTATTTTTGAATGTTTTCTGGTGAATGCCCCTGAGCAGTTATTTGTGAAGGATCTCCAGATCTAAGATAGATATTCCAGAGACACTTCATATTTGCTTTTGTCAGGCACCTAGAGTTATTAAAGCTCATGAATAACCTGAAATCAAATTCCTGGCTTGAGTTTTTTTGGCTAATCCAGGATGGGAGTTTCAAATCTGAGGAAGGACTCATGTGTGGCTACTTCTTCCTAAGGATATTTTATCCTTTTGCTTTTCTTCTTTTGCTTGTCTCAGCACTAAGACACTAAGGCTTCTCAGAAGTTCTCTAGGATTAGGGAGAAAAGGTGAATTAAGATCTAGTTCACCTTACCCCTGAGGGTATAGCTCCCTGTGGGAAGTCAACTCTGAGGCCTCTCAGCTTGGAAGGGATCCAGTCTCTGAATTCTATTCTTCCCCACTTGCATGGCTGCTGATTCAAAGCTTAAGTGAGCAGTTCTGGCAAGTGCTCACAGGGCACCAGTGGCTCTGGTGCTCCCATAGCCTGCTAACCTCTCTGGTTACAGGTGTTTAACTCTCAGTTTTGTAGCTTTAAAAGTGAAGTTTGCTAAAGGGAAGGAGAACAGAAAACCAATACTGCATGTTCTCACTTACAAGTGGAAGCTAATGATGAGAACTCATGATCACAAAGAAGCGACCAACACATACTGGGGTCTACTTGAGGGTGGATGGTGGAGAGTGAGAGGAGCGGAGAAAACAACTAATGGGCACTAAACTTAAAACCTGGGTGAGGAAATAATCTGTGCAAGAAACCCCCTGTGACATGAGTTTATCTACAAAACAAACCTTCACATGTACCCTCGAACCCAAAATAAAAGTTAAAAAAAGGTGTAGTGTGGAAAACATTCTACCCACCACTTTTTGTTGTTGTAATGGGAAAGTTGATCCTAATAGTGTGGCCTGCCCCTCTGGAAACTGGAAGCATTTTCCATGCATGGTAATCCTGGCAGGCCCAGGCTCTCCTTCCTGAGGGCTGAGGTACTCCCTCCTTCAAGGGGATGGCAGAACCCAGCTGAGAGCAAGGAGGTCATATTCAGTTTTTGACTCCCACAACTGGCTCTTGAAACTCATTTCAGAGGTAATGCTTGTGAAGGTTAAAGCTTTCATTTAAAAGAGCCAGGCTATATTGAGAGAGAAAAGGTTTATTTAAGTTCCAAAAGTTACTCTTAAAATAATCAAGAACCAGAAAACCCAGGGAATCAGAACGCACAGTTTCACTAAAGCTCACAGAGCAGTAAAAAGAAAAGAATGTGAAAATGAAAACAAAAGGCCCTTCTTGGCCTGAGGATGAGGTGAGGTGGAAGGATGGGCAGAAGGGCAGAGAAGAACCTGATAGACAATGTCTGTGGTGACAGTTTAGACAGGCATTAGGTCTGCTCCCTATATTCTCATAACCTGCAGAGATAAACCTAATTTGTATTGGGGTTTGGGAGGGCATAGTTAAGAGGCCCAGTTAAATCTGGCAATGGTAGAGCAGTGGAGTTTATATTTTGCTTCCCACCTGGAATTCTGGAAGACCACCTTGCATTGCTCTGTGCCAATATGGAACGGCACTGACAGGGTAGAAATGGCATGTGGCATATATAGCAG